CAAAACGAAGGCTCCATAGTGGAGTGGACCTGGCGGGGAGGGATTGTAAAACAATGAATTTTTCTCTTACTTTTCAAAAAGAAGAGTGTACTGGGGAGGGGAGGAGGGGTCGGCAGGGAGAAAAGTGCAACAATGAATGAACGGAAATACAAAAAAAAAATGTACAGCCTTGGAACCCAGTAGCGGGGTGCCATGACTCAGAACTGGCTCAGTGGTAATGAGAGAGTGAAGGGCTGTGCTGAGAAAAAAATAAAAAGCACAGATCTAGATGGATCATTTAATTGTCAGTATGCACATCAAAAATTGCTTTCCTGAGGACACCATTCTGAAACACATTCCCAAAGAATCCTACCCTCAATTGTTAACAGCATTAACCCCAGGAGGGGTTGCAAACAGACACATTTACATACTCTTCTGTTCATACTCTTCTGTTGTCAAGGAACTAAGTATCATGTGTATTAAGCAATCATTTAAATTATAAGAAGGAGGAGCAGCCTAAAACAGGTCCATCCTGAAGTAGAAGGACTGTTTCCAAGTCGTAGTCAGCAGGAGCAGGAAATCAGGTGAAAGTCTGCCATTTAAGACATTGTCAGCTTTCCCTTCTAAACTCATCTCAATTCCAATTATAATTAGATCCTCTTAGTTCCATCTGACCCACCCCTTCAGATAACTGCTTTCACCTACTGTCTCCCTCTTTTTGTTCCAAAGGAAAAAATCATTTCACACTCTGTCATTCATTTCCTAACTCAACAATATTAATATCCCTACAACAATAGCAATGGTTATAATATTGTTTTTCTTAATCCAATAATATTGTATTGTTGAGTGGTGAGAAATATTGCAACAATGATAATTTCTGTGTATCATTCAATCTGTGGAATGTCAGTCACAAATTTATAGAATTCAGTCAACTTTATACCTATTTTATTATAAGCATCCTAAAGGATCCCTGATGGCTCTTCAGTTCCTAGGCTCATACTTCATTCAGCTCACATTCCAGTTATTAAAGAATATTTATTTGCATCTGTTTCTTCTCTTTTGGAGTTGAGCCACACTATCCAATGGAAGTTGTCCTTCCTTGGGTAAAAAGTCTTTACTCCATTTGAATCATTAGGACAGACCCTATTTTTAGGCAGTGGTTCTTCCTCAGTCATATTTAGGTGCTTCCAACCTGAAGAGCTTTTCTTCTGGGACGATATGGGACAATGCTCCTCTGATTTGCATAGATACTTTTCCTTTCAGATCTGAATGGCCAGGCTTGCTTCTTAATTACCTTAATATGGAAGCTCCATTGGAACCTCTTCAGTATGGC